TTTGGGGGGGTTTAGGGTTTGGGGGTTCAGGGGGTCGAGGGTTGTGGGTTTAGGGCTTCAGGGTTGTGAATTTCGGGGCTTAGGGTTTAGGGTTCAAGGTTTAGGGTTTAGGGCTTTAGGGTTTAGGGTTTGGAACTTCTGGGTACTTGCCACGGGTCGCAACTTAAGCTTCCAGAATAAAGAAAGCATGGTATTGACTGTATGTCCAGATTATAGCAGCTTGAAAGAAACTCTGTAACAAGATTCTGGAATTTAGGGTGGTTCGGGTTTGGGGCGGTAGGAGTATAAAAGGGTTTAGGGAACAGGGGTTTTTGGGGTTTGGAGGCTCGTGCTGTATGGAGTTTGGCGTTCGAGGGCCTTGGGTGTGTGGACTTGGGTTCGGCGGCTTAGACACTTCGGCACTGGGGTCTGCGATTCGGCAACCTGACCATCGCCTGCGACGACCCTTTCTCTGTTCGTCTGGGGCCCTGGCTGCTTCGTGCTCTTCCTCGCAAGGCCGGGGTCGGCAACAGTAGAAGGAACCAGAGAAATGCAACATGATGCCATAACCCTAAACCCGAAACCCTAAACCCTAATTATCATGTCCATTGGCAAGAAGTAGCTGCATGTTTGGGATCGTTGGCCTGGGAGCCATTTAACCCGCTGGCTTAAGCCGCGAGTCCTGCCGAGCAAAGCCAAACCGAGAGGGCGGCTGTACGCATGTTGTCAAAATTAGGGTCCCTTTACCCTAAATAATAGGTGCCGTATTATAATAAGGACCCAAAAAGGGACCATAATTTTGACAACCACCCATGTGTACATGTATCTGCTCGTGTGTACAGTCCAATCTTCCAGGGCCTGCGGTGGCAGGGCCTTGATAGAAACCAGAAGACAAAGCCTGCTTAGGCACAATCACAGACACAACAACTCAAGAAGAAGACGAAGAAGAAGAAGAAGCCAAGAAGTACATGAGGTTCGGGCCGCGACTTGCTGAACCCCAAACCCTAAACCCCAACTCTCGGTAATACAGCATGACAAAGAAGAGAAACATTGCTCGAAGAGCCCCGAGGATGGCGAGAAGCAAACCCTAAACCCTAAACCCCTAAACCCTAACTGCCGCCAGGCCACTTGTCCAGCTTGAGCATAGGACCCGGTCCGGTCGACCTGGTTTAGCTTGTCGGGTTTGGGATTTCAGGTCTGGCGTTCAGGGCTTAGCGTTTGGGGTTCAGGGTTTGGGCTTAGGGTTCAGGGTTCAGGGTCTGCGGTTTTAGGGTCAGGGGTTCAGGGTTCAGGAGTCAGGAGAGACGCCATGCGCATGCTGGTCACGCGGCGTTGACAGATTGCATTCTAATCCCACCCTAAACCCTAAACCCTAAACCCTAAATTCTAGTCCCGATCTTGCCTCGCGGCTTCGGCCCCGATACTCATTGCATCGTGTCCGGTTGATCCTGGGGGCCCGGCTTGGCCGGAGCATTGGCTGGCGCAGGGTTGGCTGCGGCGTTGTTGCTGCCGCCGGGCATAAACTCGCCGGCCTCCGGCTAACAGGGCCAAGGGTTCAGAAGGTGGGCTTTCGGACAAACCACAACTCCCCTACCTCTACATGGACAGTTCTCTAAATTAGGGTCCCCTTTTTGGGTCCTCTTTACAAGGGTGCCGTACTATATTGGGACCTAACAGGAACCCTTAATTTAGAGAACTACCCACATAGACAACACAAGACTTTCCTCAAAAACCGGCCGAGGGTCCGAGGATTCAACGAACTTCGTACAATCCCTAAACCCTAAACCCTAAACCCTAAACCCTAAACCCTAAACCCTAAACGGGTCTCCTTGAAGGGTCTGCGTCAGGAGCCCTGGGACTGAGTGCTTATGACTTATAACTGCAAAGCCCTAAACCCTAATATAGGGGCCTAGATAATTAACAATTTTGTTTTGGGGGGCCCTTATTAGAAATGTAGTATAATGGGTCCCAACACCCTATTCTAATTATTCAGGCCCCTAAACCCTAAACCCTCATAGTAGCCCTTGAAGGAACCCTTTAAAAGAACCCTATAAAGGAGCCCCAAAAACCCATTTATACCCAGTTAAGGCCCTAGAGTTTCAAGGGCTCTTTACCTAAACCCTAAACCCTAAACCCTAAACCCTAAACCCTAAACCCTAAACCCTAGACCCAAACCAACACCAGTCCCCCAGAGCCGAGGCCTGCGGATTCAAGGAGAAGGCCGGGGCTTTCGGGTTGAAGGAGAAGCCCCTGGTAGCGCCACGGAGCTTGAGGTTTGGGGTTTAGGGCTTAGGGTTTGGGCTTTAGGGTTAAAGTTTAGTTAGGGTTTAGGGTTTAG